TTAGAAGTGACCCTGCAAGTAAGCACAGGTAGAGAACGCAGCGCCAATCTAAATGTAGCAGTCGGAGGTTTATTAAAACAGGCAACAAATATTGCACTTACAAGATAAAAGAGAAAGAACTGCTCATCAGTAAGAAAGCTGCTGGTTGCTATATGTACCGTTGCTGCTGGCCACCAATCGCTATCTGTCCTGCTGGTGGCTTCCAGCACTTCCTAGATCATGCAGAGGCTCCACGGGCATTGGGCATGAAATCAGATAAGGTAAAAGAGTCACCGCCAGGGCAGACAAGGTTAAGCTGCCAAGGCAATCATAGCGGGAGGACTGATAGCGATCGGCGGCCAGCAGCAGTGGTACATATCGTGGCCAGTGGTTTTCTCATTGATCAGCGGTTCTCTCTCTTTTATCATGTAAGTGCAATATTTGTTGCCCGTTTTATTAAACCTACGACTGCTACACTCATATTGGCGCTGCTTTCTGATGTGGTTTTCACAAAGAACGTTCATGCCTCTAAGTAATTGTGGGTAATTTAGTTGCAATGTAATGCTGTACACTCTGTAACAAACACATACAGTAGGTTTTATGCTTGTGTCTAGTTCATTTCAAAGGCTGATAAAGTTTATATACAGCACACACGCAAATGGAGTTCATTCCCCCCCTTGGACTTTTCCACATTTTATAGTTTATAACCTGAAAGTAAAGTATATCCAAACCCAAGAACAAAAATGTAATATTCCTGAAATGGGAAGTATCACTGCAGAAGGCTGCTAATGATTAGTGCAAAAGTAAAACCAAGAAAGAAGAGCATATTTGCCACAGTACAAGGATTAATGAGGCACTTGGGCAGACACTCAGCACAGAATTCAGAGCAGCCAACGTGAAATGGGTCTCCAAAGCAATTACAGGCTGCATGTATGTGCTCTAAATAACAGCCCTTTTCACATTTTGCATTCTATAATGAAACCTTTCCATGTAATATTTCCTTTAATTATACATAAAAAATTAGATGACCATGTTCTCCTTCATACAAGGAGAAAAGTACAAAGCTACATAGCAAATACACAGTCTATTTTTTCACAGGGGTAGTACATGCACTGCAAATACATCTATATGCATTCATTAACTGATGTAACCAAGAGCCTGACATTATCAAAAGCCAAAAATATATTACTAGGGGTCAGTAAGGTGGAACAATCCTGCAAGAGTCAAGACTTAACTAAAACAAATCTGCAAGCATGATGTCTCCAGCTCAGTCTGCCTTCCTAGACCCTGCCTGTCACTGATAATTTCTTTCACTGATATGTGGTCCAGGAACCTTGGCGCGCATCAATCCAATTATTGCTATGTACTTTACAACTAGGGTCATATGTAGCGTACAGCCATTTAAAACACACAAAAACATTCAGTGAACTACTGTCGTTTTGCAACAAATTGCAACTGTGCAAACATCAGAAAGTTCACTCAATTTACTTAGTAGTGTAGTGTATCAGCATGCTTACCCAAACTAAAGTGTCCATTGTGGGTAAAGGCTGCTATTGCCTGAAATATGCTGGGTGACCTCATTGCCTTCATGTAGATCTATGCAGATAGTGCTGAGGGCACTACTAGCTTTAGCAGGAAAGAGGTTCCTATCCAGTAATGCTAGTGACATTTCCCCACTTCTCCCCATCCAGCTCTACCTGCCTTCTCTGATAAGATCCCTCCAGATGCCAATATGCTCAAGACACTGACTGCAAGTGTACATACTGCAGCATGTATCTGACTCAGCACCTATTAGATACACTACATATTTATTTTATTTGAGGTACTTGTATAGTGCCATCAATTTATGCAACACTTTACATATACATTGTACATTCACATCAGTCTCTAATCCTCAATGAGCTTGCAATCTAAGGTGCACATATGTGCAGATGCCCAAACAATGACAGGGCAATACACTACACACTCCAAAGAGCCAGCCCATAGACTGCCTACAGGCAGAAGGCTATTGGGAAATTTAGCCTTGTGGAGTACACCTCCATGCAGGATGATATGTAGGGTGCACCACTGATCCTTTTCTCCCAGATGTCGCAGCTCAGCAATCTTTATAGTACCTTCTGATGGCATCACAGGTTAGAAACACAGGAGAATGTAAGTAATAATGGAAATACCCCACTCTCTCCTGGATAGGTTGTATTAATGCCATAAAAATGACTAGTCTACCCAAGGTGCTTTACTACTTTCGAACCTTGCCCATCCATGTTTACCACCTTACTTATACCTCCTGCAAACCAGAATACTTTGCTTCATTTTGGCGTATAAACACCCCAGTGTCCCCCGAGCTACCCATTACACACAAAGGTTGCAGGGTGGGCTAGGGGTTCCTAATGTTATGGAATATTATCTGGCAGCCCAGATTTCTCAATTGTCTAAGTCTCATGTGACCTCTCATATCCCCCTTATGGGTGTTTCTGGAAATTCCAAACTGCAAATTGATCCCCATGGCTTCCTCACAAATTGCAGCCATCATCCCGGGGCGCCTTAATGTTGCATCGCTTGACCATCTGGGATTCGGTGCGTTACTCTGGAAATCTCATGTCACCCTTTCTCCCACTGCTACCGATTGTGAACAATCCACTGTTCCCTCCAGGTATGGAGCAACCCCACACTTTTGCTTGGTAGACGTCCCATGGCTATACCAAAGTACAGTACAATGTCTTTCGAAGACCTGCTCCTTTCCGATGTGGGCTTCCATTCAGGAAACTCATGGCGCCCCGTTCTAAGAATTTTTCAGATATCTTCAATTTAGACACTGGATTATGAATCTTTGGCGTGCCTCCACATTTCCTTTTCATAAGACGTGCTTTGAACATTACTGTCAGCATTCTCTGAGCTGCCAAGGCCTTATCCCATCATTACATGCGTCTCTAAATACCTGACCGCATTTAGCATCCCTCACGTATGTGACACAATGGGAATGGGACCTCTGGCAACTGAGATCAATCTGAGGGACTGGAGTATGATCTGGTTGACTGTGGCAAGGTGCTCCTTTAACATGACTATTTTGGAATCCGCCTATAAAGTACTCATGCTCTGGTATTGGGTACCTGCTAGACTAGCCTGCACAATCCCTGGATAAAGTGACAGATGGTTCAGGAATTGTGGCTAAAAGGAAGAGATGCTGCATATATGGTGATTTTGTCCATGCCTGATGGGTTCCTGGTCCAGAGTGTTCAGCCAGTTGCACACTCTTTTTCATTTGACAATTCGGAAACATGCTAAATTGGCTCTTTTACATTGCCCTATTCTGGGCCTTTTTGCATATCAACAGAAGTTAGTTTCTTACCTGTTTCTGTCTGCGAAACGGCCCATTGCTCAGGCCTGCAAGAAACCATGAGTCCCATTTCAGGGAGTGAAGGACAGCATTGCTGCCTTAATGGTAAATTAAAAACTGACTAGCATTTTGAATGGCTCCCACTCTAAGTCTGGGAACCTTGGGTGACTTATTCTTTGCCCTCCTCAAACTCTAGACCGCCTGTGATGCATATCCTATATTGGTCCTTAGTCCACTCCTCGCCCTCTCTTGTTTTTTTGTTCTCCTTTCCTCCGGTTTCTCATCTTTACTTTATTCTCTTTTTCTCTAATGCACATACAATAGGACTTCGGGCCTTTAGGCAATCTACTGGACCCTGAATAGTTTGATACCAGTCTAGACTCTCACATACTTTGTGGATTTGCCTAATTCCATGTGCATTCATGCTTGTTTGAATGATACTACATACAATTATTTTGTCCCCCTGCGTGGGCAACTTTGTGCTTGTTATGACTTGAAAACCGAATACACATTATTGTCAAAGAAACACAAGAGAATGTTTGTTTCAGCATGCTCTGCCCGCATGGTTTATTATGCATTTTGACTAATCCTTAAAGATATTAGCATGCACAAAGTCATTATGAGGGCAGTAAAAGGACAGTAGGAGTGTACTTCTCTCTGCTTCTAAAGGAAACTTTAAATCTGCTTAGTGCCTATGAAAAAATTATTAGTGCTGACTTTTTATATCAGGCTTTCTGTGTGTGGAGTCAGAGTGGTGAAGCCTTAAGTGGACATTTGAGCAACACTAACGTGTGTTCCAGCATCATCCAAATACAGACAAAAGGAGTGGGGCGGACTGGTCTGGAAAAAACAAACTGCTCTGCATGTATGCCATACTCCATGTCTGCATGCAAAGGTTATATTTCAATTGTGGACATCAAAATTGGTCTAGCTTTACATATTATATACACAATATATAGACAAGCAGAAAAGTTAGTATGCCTACTTATTCCAATGTCTGATCAATTATTGTCACTGTATTTCTTAATCCAGGGATTGATAAAACCAGGGCCAGGTCTGTAGTAGCTGTGAGGTGGACTTCTGTACTTCTCTACTCAGTACCAGTAAAGTAGTATGCCTAAACACCATTTCTTGAAGGTTGGAAAATCCATTAGGAGGACCATGACAAGTGCTCAAGCAGATAATAACGATCTAATGTGTCATGCAAATAGATATGAAGTGTACACAATTTGTTTTTTTAAGTCCTATCTTATATCACCCATAATAAGCATCTGGATATGTGCACTTAAAATTCAAAACTACATTGCTATCAAGCTGCTTACAGGCCTGGGAAGCCTCCATCCTCCCCACATACTGGGACCTCTGCTCATCACACCTTAGCATGGAGAACATTCTGATACCTCCAACGGGGTGATAACAATTTTGTCATGCTCAGCAGGATATTGGTTCAATTCACTAACCTATAATAACCGTCAAGTGCCAAAACAACCAATATTTAAAAAACAAAACAAAAAACAAGAAAACACAAAATTAGACTAACCTGTCTAAAAAGGACAATCACTATGACATAAACCACAAGTAATATAGCAAAGCAGATTAAGCCTATTGTCTTCCATCTTGTGCTTGATAACTATTAGGAAAGCAAAAAGACTTCCTACACACGAGACATAAAAAGTGGCTTACATACCGATCATGTCGCAATGCTCTCATGTCCACATACACCGTTGTGGGATCTGGTCCAGATGTTCCCTGCAATACAATTGGTATTTCAGAGTTACAGCATTCGGTGATAATAACATTAAATCACAATACTAATTTGGGAAAAGTAATGTTATACTTATTTTCTAAAGAAAAAAAAAAACAAAAAAACATTAGGACTTGCAAAAAAAAAGTCTTGGCCAGATAGAGACAAGAAAAACAAAAAAGTAAAACAAATGTCTGTACATGGGCTGTACAATACGTATTTACACATTAGAATTACTTACATTTCAGATAAGAATTAACAGTATATACAGTACATAGCAGCCTTTCTCAACCTTTTCAAATTCAGATACCCTTGAAACAAGGGAACCCCTGCTAATAGGTACTATATCTACAGCTCACATCAATACCTGGTGCATACTATGAGTGAGGAGCTCTGGAGGAGCTTGCTGTACTAACAGAGATCTCCCCGTTGAGCTATTGTGTCCTACTGGGGACTGCCCAGGGGGACAGGAGGACTGTGCCCACCTCCCCCCCCCCCTGCCCCCGCCAGAACACACCAGTCAGTGTTTGCAGCCATTGGATGCATTTTTTCCGCCATGCCTGTTCCACAGAAGCCAAACATTCGGCTGGCTTCTGACGGACAGGCTACTTTACACACAGGCCAAATGTCGGCCGGTTTCTGTTGAACCGGCTGATATCTGGCCCATGTGTACTAGGATTTAGTGTGATGACCACTGAGAAGAATGTTTCTACCATTTGTGGACAGTGGGTTGAATGCCTCCATTACAGGCAGTTAAAAAGCTCATTGTTGTCAGTGGTTTCTTATCTGAAAGGCAAAGGGAGGAGGAACTGTGGCTGTGCTAAGGAATCAACCCTTCCTAATGACGACAAATTTGCTGGCGATTTTAAAGGCATATTGCAAGTGAATAAGAAATAATTTATGAAAAGGAAAATGCTGTAAAATAGTAAGAATTCACAATACACTCTGTGCTTTTAAGCGCAATTTTTTATGTTGGTGACAGGATCCCTTTAAGCTGTGTATGTTTTCTATATAGATTTGAACACAAAGGGAACAAATGACACTCCCTCCCTTTAACCAATTGGAAAAAAAAAAAAAAATTATATTTGGGACTTTTTGCTATTATGTCCAATAAAATTTTTAAAAAATCTAATTTTGTCATAAATTTAGGGCAAAATGTATTCGGCTCCATGTCTTTGATAAAAAAAAATCCTAAAACATGTAAATTAATTGGTTTATGTGAACGTTATAGCATTTAAAATGGCGGTATATACACTGGAATTTATGTTTGCTTTTTGCTAGTAATGCAGTGATCAGCGACTTATAGCGGGACTGCGGCAGGCATTCTGACACTGGGGGGGAATGGACTTGGTGTCACTGACATCCCCAGTGACACCAACACAGTGCTCAGTGATAATAAAAATTACTGACACTGTACTAATGGCACTGGACAGGAAGGGGTTAACTTGTGGGGCGATCAAAGGGTAGACTGTGTGTTGTTTCACATTATGTACTGTGTGTGCTTTCAACAGTAACTACACTGCTTTATACGGCTCTGCTATGCAGAGCCATACAAAGTAGTGTGCAGGAGCTGACAAGGGAGAGAACTGTATTGTTTACATACAGTTCTCTCCTCTGTTGGTAATACTCGGAGATCACTGGGTGCTGCCGAGTAATCACCGTCTGGAACCCGGTGATTGACAGCCAAGGACGTGAATGGCAGCGTGGATAGGGCTCGCGCGCATCCCCTACCCAGAACTGCAACATCATGTATATATGTGATTTTGCACACCCATGCCGGCCTGTAGCAGTATTTCTGCTATAGGGAGGACAATAAGCGGTTAAAGAACAGAAACAAAGAAGTACAGAAAATTTGCAGGCTGTAGAGCGCCACCTCCTGAATGAATGTACTAAATATGAACTACAGTGTTAATGCAAAGTCATCACACCTACTAATAGGAACATTACACTCAAAAATAATATTTCAGTCTTTAGTGACTTCTACCTTGTGTTCAGAACTTCAGTGGCAAGTTTATTTTTCCAGGTCTGCACAACAACCACAGCAATTTCAAGGCAGTCCCAATCTCTTCTGAATGTCTTATTTATTTGCATTATGGGAATCAGAGAAGGAAGAACGCTCCTCCAGCAACAGAATAGGGGCACTCTTACAATAGGGGAAAATAAGTCTCCATGGTAAGTTAGAACTCAGTCAGCTTTTCTTTCAAGATCACCAACTTGTACTTTCCAAAACGTCTAAAAAGACCACTAGAATATAAATATCAGTTTTGGTGGATATACATTTTTTTTTCCAATGTGCCTTTCTTATGCAAAGCTAAATTGCCAATGTGCCATGAGTAGCCATAAGCACCTGCATTCTTAATCACAGCTTTTGTTGATTTTTAACCAGATAAAATAAACCATACAGCACACGCAAAAGTAAGCAAGTCATCAAAACGCGTGAAGGAAAAAACATTTTCAAAAAGATGCTCAGACTTCAAGATAATGTTATCTAAGTTCATTTTTTGAAGTGTGTACAATTCTCCAAGCAACATAAGGAAAACCAGTTCAATAAAGCCCACTTCACAGATCTACTACAACTGTGTAGTCAACTGGTAACACAAGGAACGGACATGTAAACCTGAAAGAAAGAGAAGGTAGTAATAATAACCTTCAGAATAACCTTCATTTGAAGCAGACCTTCAATGAAAAACAGAAGGTCCATCTCCCTGCTAGACTCCTGCTGCCCAAACAAAATTAACAGAAAAAACGTTAATAAGACTTAACAAAAAACAGATAAAAATTACTTCAGTCTCAGCTTTTTGGAGACATAGGTGACATCATTGCTTCCTGGGATAGCAGGGCATGCAAAATCCCATGAGACTGTATCCCAACTCATTGCAGAAATGCATTCTCACAGAATTGCAAGTGGCAAGGAGGAAGCAGTGAGGAGCTGTGATGTATCCCACACCTCCCAGAAGATGGGACCAAGGTGAGTAGTTTTTTTACTCTTTTTCTTGTAAAATCTTTATTAACATTTTGTTTATTGTGTAGCTGGGAGCTCTGCTCTACCCGCTCACCTCCCCCCCCATCCCCCACAGCCAGAGCAGTGACAGCGCACTGGAGGACAGCAACTCTGTATTCCTGCCAGTTGGCCCTGTTCTTTCTGTCAGCAGCTCGCTCTGTATAATCCCTGCTTGCCACCCGCTCTGCCCCAGAAAATTCCTGCAGAGCCCTACTAGAGAAGAGAGCAAGAAGCTTTTACCCAGGCAAATGTTACAAGAGAGCAGAGAAGTGATAACAGTGAGAGTGAGAGGACCGGGGTGCTGTACCAGAAAGAGAGAGAGACTGCGACTGTGCCTTTGGAAACTCACTATTGTGTGGGGGGAAAGCCATACAGTACAGAGCAGTGACCTGAGTGCGGAGAGCCAGGGTCCGAACCTTGCTGCATTGGTTATCCGAGTTGCCACGGGCAACCCAGAGCTAGGAGACACCTACTCAGTGGGACCACTGCTGCTGTATTGCTGGGTCTGGTGAAACGACCATGCTGCTATTACTTGCTACCATCCCTAGAGCTAGAGCCAAAAGAAGCTACCTAATCAGCTACCTTACAGCCTGCAGGCCTTTTTGACTGCCTGAAATTGCGCCAATGGTTACCCCAATATTTAGCCAGCTGAAGAGTCAAGACTACAGACTTACCCCCTTAACAATTGATGCCCAGAGACCTTTTGCCCCTTTACTTAGTTAAGACGGACCTCTTATGAGATGTTCCACCATACCCCAGCCAATCCCTTAGACTGTACTCAAGGCCACTGTATCAGTAGTAGTATCATTTATACTGTATCTTGTATCTGTTTATTTACAATGTTTATTGGTGTTTTGCCAATTCACATATTGATTTCAGATCATGGTATAGAACTTGATTATTTTGGTATAGTGATCACTCTGTCCAGCATACCGTGTACTAATTTACCTGATGTGTACGTTCAAACTGCCATATATTCTAACCTGTATCAATAGATTAAGTACATTAAGTGTGTCTATTATCTGGTAGCAACCCAACACCAGGCTAAAGGTATTAATATGTGTGCCTTTATACATGCTGGCATTGATTTTATTCAATCAGGTGTGTTAGAGGGGCTGAGGTTGTTCTTGAAGTCAGCTCCTTTGGGGGTAGCACTACAATAGCTTATTTGTTTGGGAGGTTCAGCCCTGGCAGGGCAGTGGACCTCCCATTTGCATGGAAGGTTTGCTTTTTTTCCTTACTACAAAAAAAATTAAAACGAGTGTCTGTTTGCTTTAAAGCGCACTTGCACAAATCCTATTCTACAGTTTAAATAACTGCCTTTTCATCTTGCCAGTCAGTTGTTGGCAGGGACTTCTGGTCCTGGTAGATGTTTAACAGCACCCTCTGCTTTCAGCTTAAGTTTCCATACTTTCCAATCACAGATTTCTAATAACAATCTATTAAATTGTTTGGCTTACGTTTGGCTGGAAGGCTACAAATGTGCAAGTTATTTGATCTTCTAAATCAGAAACACCAAAAATAATTGCAGCTGACACCCACCTTCCTTCAAAGTATGGTTGAAGTACAAACCACACATCAGAGATAGTCTGAACTTATGTGTCTTATCAGTGAGGCACAGTGATCTGCTATTAAATTAGCAGCTTCAAGAACTCAAGTCACTTTTGGTTTACCCCTTTTAATTCTGGCCAGCCCTAACGTGCATGTAAACCTCAACAATTAACTTCTCTTATTAGCAACCTTAAGTATATAACTATACTGTTGAAAGCATTTTGTTATATCTGTTTGATAAGGGCAAAAAAAATATGCCTGTTGATCATGTCAAAAATTTAGAGCCATTTTGTGTCTTATGCACAATTTCTGTGCTATCTAGAAAAGAGTAAGTAGTCTTCCCAATTCTTATCTTGGAACTACAAATTATTAGCCTTTATATTGTGGAGATGGGAAAGTGGGCTGGTTTTAGTAGTTTAGCAAAAGAAAACTGGGCAGGGCTAACACCACCCA